TATATATATATATATATATATATATATATATATATATAGACAGACTTTAGGAAACACATGTGTAAAAACTGACACTGAGGAAATGAACATCCTATGTACGTAATAAAATATGCAAAAAACAAAATTGTTTTTTGCATATTTGCAACCATGGGCGTAAAGGCGTTAAACATGGCATGTTAGCAGGAGTCAGGCCCGAGCAAGGTAGAGCCCAACAATCATCCATTTTTTTAATAACTGCTGATATCATGTTACATTCAAGTCCTGCTCTACTTGGCAAATCAGGCCTGATGACAAGTCCTCTTCTAGAATAGGCTACTCTGCTGAGACAGTAGAAGCCAAGTCTAGGAGGTCATTAATAAACTCACCAGGAACCTTTGTTTGACTGAATCAGATTCAGCACAACTGAGATTTTGTTGGCACAGGCTATTTTAATTGTAGAATAGACTAAATTCTGCTTTTATTTAAAGTAGTACAAAACTATACAGTCTTCCATACATCCTGAAACTGTTTCCCTGCTATATTTGAACAAATTATGCTGACTGGATTTTCTGAACTCAAACCAGTTACCCACCATTAGGTTTAGTTGGTTTCTGGGTTGTAGTTTGTGCTGTACAGGAAAAGCTGAGGTCACTGTCAGTCCCTTCAGATGTGAAGGTAATGAAGCCTGGCTGGTTGATGCTGATCAAACCGTTGATCCAGCTCTCATAATGGGACACTCTTGCGTAGACTCCTGGGAAATCTGGCTCAGCGCATCCTTCTCCAAAACTTACAATTCCTGCTTGAATCCAGCGGTCACCCTGTTTGCTCACCAACGGACCTCCTGAATCCCTCTTAAAGATCAGAAACATTTAAGTTTAGTTTCAACTAGAACTATTGTCTTTAGATAAGGGCAAATTGATGCAAACAGAAGATCACCTGACAGGCATCCTTTCCTCCCTCTTGTAATCCAGCACACATCATGTTTTCAGTGATATTTTCCGGATAGCTACACATACACTGTCTGTTCCCAACAACCGGCACCTTGACCTCCATCATGTTTTGAGGAGATGGAAGAGGAACTGAGGAAATTACCATTTGATGAATAAAGACATTTAATAAATCTGTTGGAAGTAGAAAGCTTGGGTTCCTTTTAATTCCTTTGCGTTTTTGTTGATTTTAAACTCACCTCCAATTCCAATGGTTCCCCAACCGGTTACCCAGGACTCAACCCCGCTGTAGAAGGTGCTGTTTGAGGCAGCTAGACAGACTGGTGAGATGTAATTGGTGAAACTTACTGGCTCAGAGAGCCTTATAAGAGCAATGTCATTGTCTACAGTTGAAGAATTGTAGTCAGGATGAATAGTGATCTGTGTTGCTTTCCGAACGACTTCATTTGGGTTGGATTCCTCCTGACTCTGACGACCAAGGTATACTGTTACAAGAGACGGCGCCATATACCACCTGACAAAAGAATGAAAAAACAAAATCATGATTATTTTATATTTAAACCAGTGCGATGATAGAGACCCGTCTTATTGCGCATTATTTCTTTTTGCATCTTGGTATCTGCTATAGACTGTGGTGTCAAAAGTACACACATTTGTTACTTAAGTAGAAGTATAGAAACTGCAGTTTAAAAACACTCTGGTAAAAGTTGAAGTATCAACTTGACCTCTTTACTCCAGTAAAACTGAAAAAGTATGTGCTCCAAAAACTACTTAAAGTATAAAAGTATAATGTACCCTTTAAAAAAAACAGCCAGATGCCACTATATGAATTGAAAGCTCAATTTTTCGACTATTTCTAAAAATTCTTTGAGATAGGACCAAGGATGAGGGAGGACTTGTTGGTCTCTGTCTCCAGATACGCCCCCGCCTGTGTCGGACCTTTCAGGCCTTTCAGCATCTTTTTCTGAATCCGACATTGTAGCATGGCATAGACAATTCACGTTTACAGTTTGAAGAACACCTGCTTGCTTCTGATGATTTCCTTTAGCTAACCAATGAGTGTTTGCGTTATATTACTCATCCAATTACACTAATTTTCACTAGATGTGGATGGCGCCAATGATCTGCATTCGATGGCGCACATGACGTGAAATAAATATTTATAAACATTAAACTAGGGGTAACCAATTAGAAATCATTGGGGTCTGAATAAAGAAAATCATCAACCAATAAAGTTCGGGAGACACTTTAATGATCTGTTACATCAAACAGAATTTAACACAGAAATAAAATGAGGTGTTTATGCATCCAGGTTATACATTTTATTAAAAAAAAAATGTATAAATAAATAAAACTGGTTTTTGTTTCCTTTCTTTTTTCTGTCTTAATGAGAGCAG